GAATGGCGAAGTGACTATGGATAGTGTTTATTTTGCCAGAGAGTAATGTGCGAGTTGTTTGTGGAGCTGATGTATGTGTGAGTCGTTTTGATGGTGTTGGGACGTGGAGTGGTGTGATGGCTAACATGCGTGTCTTTTTCAATGCTGACCAGCATTTAGCTGAATCGCACTGACCTGCCCCTATGAACAACTGACCGGTAAGTGAATGGAGTGTATTGATTGATGTAGTGTGTTTTGTGTGGATGGAGATTGAGTTACTAGGTAGTGTGTGTATCGTGAGATGGTTTGTGTGAATTGTTAGTTGTTGGTGTTAGGAATGGATAATGTGACGGCGGCGGTTAGTGTGGTGTCATTTAATGCTGTTGTGAAAGTGTGTCTTGTTTGACGGGATGTGGTTATGGAGGGTATTGTTAGTGTGTTGTTGTTGTCGTTTTTGTTTAAAGAGTGACTGAGTGTTGGAGTATGTGTGTGATTGAGGTGTATCGTGGAGTGGATGCCGAGTTGTATTTGGTGATGTTTAGCACCAAGTATGCTTAAGGCATCCTAAATTGAGGCTAGTGCACCAACTACTGTACATGACGTGCTGTAGTATTTCACACTAGGTACATGCGTGGATGTTTGTATACGTGAAGAAATTGTGTTTGATGTTGAGCTATGTTGTGTTGTATGAATTAGTTGAGAGTGTTGAAGATGAGGTGATGATTGGTAGTTTGATTTGTGTTAACTTTGTTGTTGTTGTTGGTGGTGTTGAAGTTGATGATTACTGTGTAGTGTGTGTATGTATATATATGATGGATGGAAGAGTGAGTAAGGTGATGGTTGATTGTGGATGTGGTCGCTTGCAAATCTGTGTTCAGGTTTGCTTTGAAGCACATCCGAGATTGAGAGATGCATGCGATGTACTGGCTGTTTCCGATGCAATTGAAACAGGCAACAGGATCCATGCGAAATTTGTGATAATGTGTGTGCATGTACTTACTTAGATATGAGTTAGAATAATTGTTGGAGTAGATGCTTGTGTGGTTGTTGACGTTTTGGATTGTTGTGGTTGATCGTGTTGAGTGATGGTACTGCTGGTCGTAGTAGTTGTGATAATGATGACGAAGAAGAAGAAGAAGCTGAAGACGATAGGAGTTGTGCAGTGGAAATATATTGTGTGTTGTTGGAGTGATTTTTCGACGGTGAGTGGTGTGCAATGTTGGTTTGAGTGAGGCGGACTTTCTTGTGTGTGGGTGCAAGTGTTGTTGATTTATTTTATGTGTGGAGAGTGTGTTGATGTGATTGTTTGTGATGGTGGTGGTAATGTTGGCATTTCTGTGTAGAGATGAAGCAGTTCGTATATGCTTTAGTCTCAAGGGCGAAATGCGAAATCGAATCGCGCGTTGCTCATCAGGTCTGGATGATTCCGGGTTTTGGGCACGGGCGAGAAATACAGTGTTCGTACGTAGTGACTTAGTGAGTGATGGGATGAATGTGTGTGATTGGGATTTGCCGGTTACTTTTGGATTACGGTTGTAAATGTGTGCGATTGTGATTGAAGAACGAGGAGAACAGGTGTGTGCATGGCAGATGAGGTGAAGTGAGGTGGGGTTGTGTTTTTCTATGTGAAGTAGCTGACTTGGTGTGAATAGAGTCAGTTAAACCGTTTAATGTTGGATCGATCTGTTCTGGGATGTGTAGTGAAATGGGATAATTTATTTTGCTGACAACATAGTTGTTGGTGTTGTGTGTGATGAATGATGAATAATAATAATAAGATGATGATGATGATGATGATGATGATCATCGTGACCAGCACCCATTCAATGTGACGTGATTGACTGGGCTCCGAACGATGGCAAATTGAAGTTGCGAATGTAGACGGTAATGTGATTTCGCGACAGTATCAAAATCGTCCGTTGGACATATGTGAATATGATCGTGTGTTGTATGCCGAAGTATTGACGACAATGTGTGTATGAGTGTTTGTTAAGTGTGGGGTTTGTGATGTTGGTAACAAGAGAGAGTAAGTTTGTGGTGACTTTGCAATGGTTTATTGGTGTTGTTAATGTTTTGTAGAGGGAGAGAGTTGGCGACGTGAGATTTGTTTGTTGTCCGATAATTAGAAGTATAAGTAGTGATGGAAGTGATTGTGGTGAGAATAACTGTGGTTGCTTGTTGTTGTTAAGCATCATAAAGTGCTCTTCCCGATGGTGAGGGTTCTGAGCTCCAGAGTGATGCGAAATTGGAATGGCGAAGTGACTATGGATAGTGTTTATTTTGCCAGAGAGTAATGTGCGAGTTGTTTGTGGAGCTGATGTATGTGTGAGTCGTTTTGATGGTGTTGGGACGTGGAGTGGTGTGATGGCTAACATGCGTGTCTTTTTCAATGCTGACCAGCATTTAGCTGAATCGCACTGACCTGCCCCTATGAACAACTAACCGGTAAGTGAATGGAGTGTATTGATTGATGTAGTGTGTTTTGTGTGGATGGAGATTGAGTTACTAGGTAGTGTGTGTATCGTGAGATGGTTTGTGTGAATTGTTAGTTGTTGGTGTTAGGAATGGATAATGTGACGGCGGCGGTTAGTGTGGTGTCATTTAATGCTGTTGTGAAAGTGTGTCTTGTTTGACGGGATGTGGTTATGGAGGGTATTGTTAGTGTGTTGTTGTTGTCGTTTTTGTTTAAAGAGTGACTGAGTGTTGGAGTATGTGTGTGATTGAGGTGTATCGTGGAGTGGATGCCGAGTTGTATTTGGTGATGTTTAGCACCAAGTATGCTTAAGGCATCCTAAATTGAGGCTAGTGCACCAACTACTGTGCATGAAAATTAGAAAGGTGTAGTTATATTTCTTTCTAATAATAAACTACTGAACATTGAACTTACACGACCTTAACACTAGGTATATATATTACACAAGAGAATTTGTTGTGAGAAGTGCTCAACAATCGAGACACTATGCAGTTGTTCGCATATGTTACTATGCACGATCCGTGACATTATTCAAACACGTTGTAATGTCGATTTTAGTCACTGATTCACACGTGAAGTGAACGCGATTTACTGTTGACGGTTATTCATCAAAAAATAAAATTTGTGAAAGTCACCTCTCAATAATAGTCAGGTGCGAATACATGACTATTGTTGGTAAGGAGAGTTTGTGGAAATTGGTGTTTTAAGGTTGTCTAACTAACTTATGGAATTCAACAATCTCCACACAACACTTGACACTAATAATATTGGTGCATTGTTGACTCGAAACCTGTGGTACGATGACGATAGGAATGTTTACTACACAAAACTAATGTGTGTGAATGATCACATGTTATGAATAAATGACATTTCAAATAAAGTTCCTTAATTCATTGATGATAGTTGGTAAGAGTGACGTTTAGTAATTGAGTTGTTCCATACTATCACTAGATACCACATCCATCATGGTAATTGTTTATCAAACGAGATTGACCTTTAAGTTCAGATTTGATGTGAACATTCAGTTGTTAAGTGCGTTCACAATAGTTTGAAGTCAATTGGTTGTTTCATATCGGTGAATGTATATTCATCATATGAGACTGCAGGCCATCACGGTGGTTCCGATGATTTGATGTTTATGGTTGGATGTGAATCTGTTTTGTTTGATCAGTAGTGAGGTTGTGTGTGCGCGCCATACTGAGAAGTATTAAACTTGCATGAAATGTTTCCAATGCTTCGTGGACATCTTAAAACTTCTTCAACAATAATATATTTCACGATTGCATCGTGTCGTTTGAACACAGTATTCCTCATCGATCTGAACGATTAATATGGTTATATGGAAAAAGCTTTACGAAATAGTTAGTTGACTCTTCATTCACGACTCAAACTTCCTACATTTCAAAATCAAATTTTATCTTCAGAGTATATCAACTCCGAATAGTAAACATTATTTGGTCAATCGACCCTAATCAGTGGTGAGTGAATTTTAATAAATAGTACATCACTCGAATCCATGGTCGTGGGTGACCACTTCAAAGGAGGTTCATACGGGGATGAATCGACTGTTCGAAATCTTCAGAATTTCAACGATGGTCTAGCTGGGATCCATTTTCATGATTTCAGCAGTAAAAATATCATATTCATGAAAAACAAAATCCCCTATACCTACAACCATGAACCGTACCAAAACAATTAAGAAATGATCTTGCATATAGATTTCCATGTTAAGCTCACTTTGCTTATTCTAGCTTCCGGACAAGCTAATTTATCCATTCTTCTTCAGTCAGTTTTACACCTTGTTAAATATTCTCTTATCTATCTTGATTATTTTTATGTAGTCGTAAGTGTGTTCGTTTTCCATCTTACTCATCACACGTCTGTAAGTTATTTTTGTTCAGCTATAAATATCGAATAATACTTGATTAAAACAAGTTGGCCTATGTGCCTTCTCCATTGGGTGCCATTTGATTTCGCTTCGCTCTCTAATCTTCCAATCCTTCTCTCCGTCTCTCTGATTGTCTGTTTCGATCAACGATTGTACAAAATGATTATAAACGAGGATTAGTGTTATGTGTATTTCGATAGCTATCAATATACAATCTAATTGGAGTCAGATATCGGGCTACCAAAAGCTCCTCTGAATAAAATAACACAAAGCGTTGAATAAGAAATCTTTATTGGTCGACCATTAATTGACAGATACTTCAAAAATAGGTGTACGTATACATACTAAAAACAAAATTAAAATCAATAAGGATAAGGATAATTCTAAGAACTCAGAATGCAGAAATCTTTTGTTTCTAAGCGAACTACACATGAACGTAGTAAGCAGTAAATAAGAATAATTATAAGAAACAAACACAACTACAGTGCAATTCAAAGAGACAGAGAGAGATGCAGGAGGGTTAATGAGTAAGTCACAGTATCCAATCAGAAGCGAGAACATATAACGCTACTGAGCATATATGTGTGTAGATGTAAATCAATTTCAGAAAGTTGACAAATACCAATCTGTATGTAACAATAATGATAGAATCATTCAACATTAACATTGTTCTATTTCAGCTGAATTTTCTGTATCAACCACATGTTGCATTAACTTGATCAACGTTTCCAATCCATGCCGAAAACCATCAGTTAGTTCACAACTCCAACAATCCTTACTACAACCACCACCACTACTATCATTGTCATTAGTAGATGATTTAGCTTTCCAACGGACAAAATCAATTAAATAAACCTCTGTATGTGCAGTATTATGACCATCACTGTCACTGCTTATGTTACTAATATTCTTTCCATTTGAAGAAATAGGAATATCGGAGTTGGTAGTATCATTTGAACTACTGACTGACTGATTGTCAGATGTTATTGTGGTAGATGATGATATAGGAGATGATGCAGAACACGTTTCAGAAAGACAGTGATCATTATTACTGTTGTCAATCGTCAATGACTCATGAATCAATAAAAGTGAGGAACGACAGAATGTGAGCTCTTTCGCACCATATTCCACATACCAATTTAAAATACGATTGAGTTGTGTGATATAACTTTGTGCAAGTTTAATACTATAGGTACGATCTGCACCTAGAAATGGTTTTACACCTGTGAAATGTAGAAAAATAATCGCGTAAATCGAACGACATCATGCATTTGTGACATAAATTATAGTTGAAGAAGTTTTAACTTTTCAATAAACATTGAACATACGTTTCATTCTAGTGTAAGACTCCTCAGTATGACACAAACATAACCTCACTACTGATCAAACAAAACAGGTTCACATCCAACCATAAACATCAAATCATCGGAACCACCGTGATGGCCTGCAGTCTCATATGATGAATATACATTCACCGATATGAAACAACCAATTGACTTCAAACTATTGTGAACGCACTTAACAACTGAATGTTCACATCAAATCTGAACTTAAAGGTCAATCTCGTTTGATAAACAATTACCATGATGGATGTGGTATCTAGTGATAGTATGGAACAACTCAATTACTAAACGTCACTCTTACCAACTATCATCAATGAATTAAGGAACTTTATTTGAAATGTCATTTATTCATAACATGTGATCATTCACACACATTAGTTTTGTGTAGTAAACATTCCTATCGTCATCGTACCACAGGTTTCGAGTCAACAATGCACCAATATTATTAGTGTAAAGTGTTTTGTAATCTGTAAACCAGTAGTATATATGAACAGTATATTACTTGAGAAACACAACATCATTCAATATATAACTGGTAAGCAGTAACTAAGATGGGAATAATACAACTTAAAGACAATAAAGCCAGGTAACGCCTATAAATTAAATCAGAATGAAACAGAAGTTGACAATAGGTGTAATGAAAAAAATTGAATTCAAGCACTCTTATCATTAAAAAGTAATTTAAAACAATGGATTTCGACACTCTCATGAAATTACACCAACGTCTACATTCGCAACTTCAATTTATCATCGTTTGGAGCCCAGTCAATCATGTTACACAACACCACCAACAACAACTCCTCAACACTAACTATATTGTCAGCAAAATAAATAATCCCATTTCACTACACATCCCAGAATAGATCGATCCAACATTAAACGGTTTAACAGACTTTATTCACACCAAGTCAGCTACTTCACATAGGAAAACACATTCGCATCTTACTTCGCCGCTGTCATATGCCATGCACACACGGGTTCTCCTCGTTCTTCAATCACACTCGCACACATATATAATCGTAGTTGGTGAAATTGTGTCAATTTCGTTTAAAATACGTTGACAAGTTTTCACTTATGTTCTCACTAATCATATTTTTCTTGTCTACAACTGATTGTCCGTTTTCTTAATTTCGCTATCTTTTTTTATTTCCCCATCCCTTCTGACACTCACTCTGTACACTGTATTTCGAAGACTCTTCCTTAGATGTGCTTGAGTTTTTCCTGTTCTTTGAAAGTACAATAAGACTTTTTATATTCTCCTCACTTTAGAATTATGTCTCTATTGATTCCAATTGTGATCACCAATTATTCTCAGTTTTATGGTTTTATTTATATGCTGCCGAACTGTTTAACTGTCCAATATATTATATTTACCTAAAACATCATTTAAATATATTTCGTGTTCTTTTATTTAAAAGCTAATCGATAATTCACAGGATAAGTTCCAAGTTGAGCTACCTGATATCTTGCTTAGATCCATGAGTTAATCATACTTTTTTCTTCTGAAATTATCAAATGTATATCCTAGAATGATAGGAAGGAAATGACTACCATATATCATATTACTCATAATCTTGTTAGTAAACAAAACTATTAAGAAATTATAAGCAAAGATGAATAGTGGTTAGCAGGGAAATTCAGGACAACGTGCGTTTCGTCTTATTTCGGATCGGTCAGCTGAATGTACCTGCATCTTAGAGTTGATATTCACTCTGGGACTCGAATTCAGTACCTTTCACTTCAAACGCCATCACGTTATCCACTCAGCTACTGAGTCCTGTCCAGTTACAGTCCTAAACATCAATGGGAGGATTCAAACAAACAATGCTAAGTGAATTTATTAGTGAATTATTTAAAAATTACTAGCGGATGGTTTCTGTGACAAGAGTCTGTATGCCATAGAATAAATCTATAGTTCAAATAAGATTAGAGCCATTCTATGTTTAAATTAAGTTCAGATTCGATGATTGATTGAAGTAATTGAACAGTGTCTTTTAATGTACTTGGTTAGTTGTATGAAGTTGAATATTAGCCAAATCCACAATTGAGACAGACTAATATGAATTCACATTATACTTTGTGGTTTATCATAAATTGCTCAAAATCATTCATATATATATATCTTTATATTGAAATGTAACAGAGGGTTTTTTGTGGAGATTTCAGTATTTGCATAGTTGAAATCATGAATCAGTTGAAGCTAGACCACAATGGAAAACCTGAAAGCACTGGACGGCCGTTTCGTCCGGTTAAGTGCTGGTAGGTCCTGGGTTCGAATCTCGCTTGTAGGTATCGTGGATGCGCACTAACACTGAGGAGTCCCACAATAGGACGAAACGGCCGTTCAGTGTTTCCAGGTTTTCCATGGTGGTTTAGATCCAATTGTCTCATGATTTCAACTATGTAAAATGTAACAATTAAATACTATATAATGTGATACAAATGACATTGGTAACGGAAAAACAAAAACTAGAATTCCATCTCCAATTGACCTCGGATCTGTTTCCAACATTATGATCATATTTATGATTCTAATTATTTCTATTATCAATGTCAATCATTTCATATTATACCATACATCAATGTGTTATGAGAAACCATGAAGTATAATACCTAAGCAAAGACTATTCCTTTCTCAAATCAAAACAATCATTCTAAAGCTATCAAGTAGATGTTATGAGAACTTTCATCTAAATTAAAGCGAATAGTTCCAGAGTATTTGGGTGCCAAGTTGATGTATGACATATTTCCTTGAAAAATCTTGGACCAGATTGCCAGGTGAAATGTTGAATTTACTTCTTATTCATTCGCGGAGATTTTACAAATACATATTCTTCCTATTTAATATCTTACATCAACTCGGCGTCTAAATACTATGAAACTATTCGCCCTAATTTAGATGAAAGTTCTGATATGAAATTCAGTGTTTCGAAAAAAAAAAATTTAAGGTGAAATCTTGTATACATTTCGATGAAGTTTTGTTCTTTGAGTTGGATAGTTTGGTCGTGAAGCTTTCATCGTTCTTCTGAACGATATCATCAGTATAAACATCGGGTAGAAATGAAGTGTTTGAATTTCTCTGAATGGGGTTCACAGCTTGTTCTGAACACCTCGATACATTAAATTTTATTTTATTTAAACACATAAATACTGGTACAAGGAAGCACCAGATACATATGCGCTACACAAATCTCATTTGATTTGTGTGAGGGCTGTGGTACTTCCCAAGTGTCCATACTGAAGCAGGTGGTTTTCTTAGCGGGGCCACACGCGGGGCTTTTTACCTAAATGTCTGATCTACAAGGCAGTAGAGTATCGTGAGGAGATGCAGTCTCATGGAAGCCGGTGACCAACAATTGATTCATACACCATTTGTTCCCTCAGGATATTGAAGCTCATGTGCATCATTGGTTTGGAATCAGGGTTTTCCAACTCCCCTAGGTGGACTCGCCGTGTCCACCAATCCAGTTAAAGCGCCGGACATTCGCTTTCGTCCTCTCAATTTTGTAAACAACACCGGTGCCACGAGACGGCAGTCATTAAGACTTCCCTGGTAGAGGCTATATATGCGTGGCCACGTGAAAGCATTGGGGGGCTTTTAATCATTGAATAAATATGTTGGTATTGATCGTTTTAATATCAGAAAAGGTTTTGTGGGTATTATATTAATTTTAATAGTTGAGATCATGCATCAATTGAAGCTAGACCACCATGGAAAACCTGGAAGCACTGGACGGCCTTTTCGTCCTATTGTAGGACTCCTCAGCATTATGCATCCATTGATCGTTTTAACACATCAAACATAACCGGTTTTTTGAATAATAAAAAAAATAAAAAGAGAATTCAGTGAAGAAGATTTTCTTTTCAATGAAATTATTTACTTAATATGTATATCTGTATTTATAGTTACTATGGCAAATATATATGCCTATAGTAGGATAGTAAAGATTACATCATTATATCGATTTCAGACTTTTTTAATTACCAAATGAGGTTACGTAATAATCAAGGAGCAAGGAAGGAATATAAAGATGAAAATAATTTACTGGTCAGATATGAAGAGCAATTTATAAAAAAAAGTAAAGGTCATAGTAACCATTGAACAATAAACATGGGAACTTGTTAAAGAAGAAGAATAACTGACTACGGTTTAGAATTATAAAATAATTAAAAAAACAAACAATGCCAACGTATATTGCAGAACAAAAGTAAGGTTAAGTAAGGACATATTAAGGATAATTCCCTATTTACGCCATATTGATATCTATCTATAAATTTACTTGCACTTGTAGAGTAAGTTATATTGGCCTCACAAAGTCAATAACATTCAGAATATTATCCGGCATGGCTTTTAAAAAAGAAAAGGCGAAACAATCACTAATTCAATATATAGAACCATCTGATCAATTATAGACATGTTGATTCAAAGGGATCTTCCTTCAAAATAATCTACACAATCAAAGGAACTTAATCATAGGAGGTTGAATCAAAAACTTATTCACTGCTGAGGCGGTGGAGATCTACCAATTTAAACCCGAACTCCAGGTTGTCGTTACCTACTTGAGAATGACGTTCAGTATGATGATTAATACAATAATTGGCATAATGAAGTCTGAACCAACATCAGATTCCACTTTGTCTCCGAATATTACCTAAACGTATATTGTGAAAAAGGAATGGAAAAATGTTAACACATAGGAGAAATGTAATAAGACAAGTTCTGTTGATACACAGATCAACACACATGTCTTGTCCCAATTAGATATCTTATAGTTACATATACTATTGAGATGAGAAAATAACTGTTCTGATGTAAGTCACATTGTTGTGTATTTCAGAAATAGTTCTTTATTCTTCTATTATGACCCTTACGAAAGGATTACTAATTACAAGACTAATCAGTTATTAATCGCTTATTCACTAAATCGCTCATTGTCTGTAGGACCATCGACCTTCTTCCAATTATTCACCCAATAACCATGAACACACGATAAATATCTCAATGCTTATATGTCTTTGAATTCCTTTTTACACAATATCTAGTCATAAGATAAAGCCGTCAAAAAGATTTCTCCTCTATTCTACTCCACTCTTTACTCAAAGATCCATATTGTAATATACATCGAATACCCAATCGTAACACAGTAATAGAAATAAGAAACTACACTGAGTACATGACTAAACCGTAAGTGACACAAAATAAAGACGTAAAAGGTTAAAAGTAGTTGTCACGATGCAAATGCAACTTTTTGCTGTCCAGGTTACAAAAAAGCCCAAAGACATTGTAGTTGCTGAAAATATGCAGCGAAAAGAATGTACATTATTCAGATATCGATCCCTGAAATGTTATATTCTAACTGGCGACCACTCAATTTTTATCGTCAAGATCAACCAAGATTGTTGGAATAGTTTGTGCTGAGAATTCTATAGTGTACCAAGAATATAACATTGAATAATGCTAATAATAACAAATGAATAAATCCATAGAACAAACCAGAAAAGGTTTGTGCGACCGATTCCATGAACTAGTTGAGATTAGACATTAACACCGCTGGATGCCGGCCAGCTCAGTGGTCTATAGGTTTAATGCTCTGGCGCGATACTGGTAGGTCCTGAGTTCGAATCCCGCGAGGCGGGATCGTAGATGAGCTCTGCTGAGGAGTCCCACAATAGGACGAAACGGCCGTCCAGTGCTTCCATGTTTTCCATGAAGTTATAGCTTCAATTGACTCATCTTACCTATATACAATTCTATGAAGTCGACAAAGACAAATTCGAAACACAAAAGAGTAAGTACGAATTTCGAAACTAACAGTTTTGACCTAATCTGATTATATGAAATTTAATTGTGTCAGATGAGTTGGTGTAAAGTTGAACCTGATCATAGACTATCACAAAATGTTGATTATAGTTCAGAAATGGATTAACCAATAATATTTGAATTTAAACGCCCACCATTTGGACTCAGTTTGACCTTTAAGTGGTTATTCATTATTACCCAATCATGAAATGGTATCTAACATATAAATATGAATATTTTCCATTAGTTTTATTTAATTGTAACCATTTATACTGTTTGGTATGTTAACATTATCCTTTATTTCTATTTCACTATACTGTTCTATTGTTTTGTTTTGTAATGAATGTATTAATTAAAGTTAGACATTAACACCGTTGGATGCCAGCTCAATGGTCTAGAAGTTAAGCTCCTGCACGCGAGATTGATAGATCCTGAGTTCGAGTTTCACGAGGCGGGATCGTGGATGCGCACTGACACTGAGGAGTCCCACAATAGGATGGAACAGCCGTTCAGTGCTTCCAGGTTTTCCATGGTGGTATAGCTTCAATTGACTCATGATTTCAACTATATAAAATTACTAACAAATCTCCACAAACAATCCCCTAATATTGTATCTGTTTCGTTGATTTCATGTCGCTGGACTAAAGTGGTATGACAACTTGAATTAATATATATTTCTACTAGATTCTATGTTGTATATGACTGAATAGTTGTATGTAAAATATGCCAATTGCACAAACAAGTGGCTATCAGGACTCAGTGGCTGAGTGGATAACGCGATGGCGTTAGAAGCGATAGATACTGGGTTCGAGTCCCAGAGTGAATATCAACTCTGAGATGCAGGCACATCCAGACGACGAGTCCCAAATGGGACGAAACGCGCGTCAAACTGGATTCCACTGCTAGCCACTATCCATCTCTGCTTACTAAGTTTTCAAATGTTTTTTGTATTTGTTAAACTTAAGTTACCCTTTCAAGAAAATTTTTATAAAGTTGATTAACTTAAGAAATGAACCCGGACTAATGAACTAGTATAGTATCTTTTGTAGTAGTTGTACAATCAGATGGTATTATTTCATTGACGACAAGTGAATTAGAATATATTAAACCTTGTATTTTATTGTAGGACTCTAAAGGAACCACTCGTTTGTTTATCAAATACATTGACAATGTTTGGTGATGCTCCTCCTCTACCTACATGTACGGAATCATATGCCTTCCAGGTGGCTGGTCATTCTCGAGAAAATGCAAGTAGTTTTGAAAGTAAGTTGATTAATAGTATAAGTAATTGACTTTTACAACACTATTTATAAACTAGTAATCGCTACTGTTAAGTAATGATATCTGGTTTGCTTCACATATTTCTACAAGATGAATTCTCTGATCTTCAAAGTAACTTACTTACTTACGCCTTTTACCCCTCGTCGAGGAGTGTATGCCGCTCACCAGCATTCTCCATCCGACTCCGTCCTGAGCAATCCTTTCCAGTTGTTATTCATCCTTTTCATATCTGCCTCTATTCCTCGGCGTAATGTGCTCTATGGCCTTCCTCTTTTCTGCTTCCCTTCCGGATTCCAAGTTAGGGATTGAGTCGTGATGTACATTGGTGATTTCCTTAATGTATGTCCGATCCACTTCCAACATCTTTTCCTAATTTCCTCTTCAGCTGGAAGCTGGTTTGTCCTCTCCCATAAAACGTTGTTGCTTATAGTATCCGGCCAGCGAATGTTGAGTATTTTGCGCAAACAACTGTTTATAAATACTTGTACCTTCTTGACGATGGATTTAGTAGTTCTCCAGGTTTAAGCTCCGTACAGTAGGACTGTCTTGACGTTCGTATTGAAGATTCTCACTTTGAAGTTAGTTGACAGTTGTTTTGAGTTCCATATGTTCTTCAATTGTAGAAATGCCGCTGGATGAAAAGGTAGTATGATACTAGATATTTTGTCGGTAACTGGTTATTTCCTATTTTTCCGGTCACATTATAATTTAATTTATTTAGGGAGGTGATAATTTTCGTTTCATTCTACATTCAGCATGCTTACGTAGTTTACAAGAGCGATTTGCGATTGTCCAGAAGTCGCAGAATAATTGTGTGCCATAGGAATGAGAATGAAAGAATTGACTGTGAAGAATCCATAACACATTTCAGATTACAAAGCTTCTGAAACTTACTGATTGCATACAGGTTTCTTCACCGTATGATTCATATCGACAAACGTGGTGATTGCTTAACTGTTTTAATAAAGTTGACTACCGAGTGACAGATCGCAATTTCGATCTATACTCTATGTTGTTCGTTTGATAAGTCTGATAGTATGACTATCGTTCGCACAGTGTGTTACAGCGGTGGGTATAACTATTTGTACTTGGTGAATAAATTGTATCTTGTGAGCGCTAACTTTAATAATCAGTTCCACTTTAAATTTGAACTGATTGTGACATAACTTTGCGTGTTCTAGGTTTCAAAACAATCTTATCAACTGTTTTGATTTTCACTAAAACTGATGTGAAAAAATTCATTCATTCACTTAACTCGTCCCATTGTTTAGGACCTGATGAAGTCTCAAACCATCTTTTTAAGAAGTGTGCTGACGTTTTGTGTCATCCATTCACGAACATGTTGAACGAATCCTTAACAACTAATCTCATACACAAGATGTAGCGAAATATAAAGCTATTCCCGATACTTAAAAAGTATCTGGAGATAAGAATGCAAAATTTAGACTCAAAGCTTTCGCTCAAAACAATAGAAAAATTACCACTAGTCCCACTTAAACCTGCATTGAAAGAACACATTGATTCATATCAGTTTGCTTACAAATGAAAAAGACTGCCTTAAGTGCTGCCGTTGTTCTACATCATAATATACTGTTCAGCTTGGAAAGGGGTAAAAAGTATATCGGATGCTCGTTTCTAGACTTTACTTCTGCCTTTGACTCTATTCCAAGACCACTACTGCTTGATAAGTTTATTAGCATGTACACCGACAGCTGGATAAAAAAAATGGGCGTGTTACGACCACTGTGTTTAGGGGAAAATATTCAGCGTCTCTATTGACTCATGAAGGTGTGCCACGAGAAGCTGATCTTTCTCCTTTCCCTTCTCCCATTTTTTTCTGTATGATCTGCCATTTTCCTCAGAAAATACTTTTCTTAAATATGTGGATAATCTCACAATATGTACGCCAACTTTGGCTTCTTCACCCCCCCCCAGTGAAATAACTTAGTTCTTGTCTTCCGTTGAACAATAGTCTAATGTTAATGATCTCAAACTTAATCCTTCTAAATGTTAAACTGTTAATTTTAGCCGAAGACGTGAACAGCACTAAAATATCCTGTTAGAAACCTACAAAATTTGTACCATTGAAAATTTTGTAATAGGAACTGTCAAGTGTCATTTGTCTTGGTGTAAGTTTTTTCTTTGATCTCTCTTCGTCTTCTGATGTTTTATTGATATCGAAGAACGTTTTCCATTCAACATATTATATAAAGAGGATACATCCTACTCGAGCTAATCGATATTTACTGTTACGATTTTTGAATTTTTTGATATCACCTATTATGCTTTACTATTCTCCATTATTCTTTGCTGAACTTTTGAGGAAAGACTTTGCTGTGTTGCAAAGAATTCTGAAGGCAATTAGCAGGGTGGGTTATGAATCTTTTGAGATCATTATTAATATGGTTGTAGATAGACATCTACTCAATGTCTTCTGGTAGAACGAGACGTCAATACATTAAAGTCCATGCACTCAAGTGAAGAAACAAAAGCTCTACAATGTCTTATCTAACAAATAGACTATGTAACGAAACAAGTTGTTAGAGTTGAACTAGTCAACAACTTGTATTGTTGAATATGTTTCTAATATCATAGTTGTTCAGATTCTAATCTTCAAATAAAAAACACTTCATTCAATTCCAGGTAGTTTGATGTATATATCTATGCAGTTATCGGCTTCCTTTTTTCTCTTTCTTATTTTGTAAAAGAAACTTGTTGAGGTATTCGGTGCTGTGAATTCCAAATTGTGCTAAACATATATTATTGCATAAAGCCATTATTATTATTATTATTATTATTATTATTATTAGTAGTAGTAGTAGTAGTAGTAGTAGTAGTAGTAGTAGTAGTAATAGTAGTAGTAGTACTAACAGGATATTTAGATGTGTTAGTAGGTAATTTTGTATTATGATAGTTGAAATCATGATTCGGTTGAAGCTAGACCACCATGGAAAACCTGGGAGCACTGGACGGCTGTTTCGTCCTATTATGGGACTCCTCAGAGGAGGAGTCTAAATGTTTATCAATATTAAAGTCATGCAATCTCATTATCTGAATGTACTTCATGAAAACACACACACACACATACACTAATCATATAAATTAAATTTTACATGTAAAAATTATATTTATAATCATTTCAACTATTGTTGCTAAAAGAACTCGAAAATTCACCCTCCCCCTGCCCTCCCCCCGACAATAAACTAGTTCAACCTTCTTCAGGTAACTAATCAAAATCAATATAAATCAATGAATGTATATGGTTTAATAATTCTAATAATATCAAATAAAAAAGCTTGTCCATGTAAACTTACATTACAGGTAACCATTATGCTAGATTGATTCCTAAACAATTTATCTATTAATGTTATTCTCATTATAGGTATCATTACCAAGTTCTGATTTGATAATTTTGAATAAATCGAGAATTGAATAGATTATTATAAACAATAATAAGATATTTGTAATATCCTAATGAATAGAAAAATGAAGTTTTCTAACGTTTCGTAACTCAATGTAAGCTACTTCTTCAGAGAATAAATGACTGAATTCGATCAAAGTCAATATTAATTAATGAATTTATATGATTTAATAATAATACTATCAAATGAAAAGCTTGTCTAATCTTGTTCATTTTATTTACACTAAGGTCATGAGACAAATGAATTTGGAAAACATACAGTTTTTCAAAGATATTTATAAATATATTCTATTGTTATCTGTAAACAATATGAAACTAATAGTTCTAATTATGACTAAGGATTAATGAATATTTGATTTTGATCATAAACATATTATATAGTTGAAATCATCGGTCAATTGAATCTAGACCAACATGGAAAACCTGGAAGCACTGAACGGTCGTTATGTCCGATTGTGAGATTCCTCAGCAGTGCTCATTCATCATCTCGCCTCGTGAGATTCGGTTAAGTGTTTTAGCGCGAGACTGATAGATCATGGGTTTGAATCTCGTGAGGAGAAATCGTAGATGCGTACTGCTGAGGAGTCTCATACGAGGACGAAACGGCTGTCAAGTGCTCCCAGATTTTCCATGGTGCTCTAGCTTTAATCGACTAATTATCTCAATTATATAAAATTACTAAAATCTTCACACAAAACTCCCTTCTGATAAACATATTAGTACTTATAAATAGCGTCAACTAGTTGAAGTTTGTATAGATTTAGGTTATTCACATAATGATAAGATACATTTCAATGATTCTAAAGTAACCTAAAGAAATATCAATCACTTGTTAATTTTAAAACGTAAGGTTATCAATTCATTCATTCAATGAACATTAAGAGTTAGAGTTAGACTTTATCATCAGGTTATAATGTTAAAATTTCATTTCATCATATGAATGATTAAATTTCAATTAAAAATATAAGAAGTGATTTATCTTAAATTTGATTGGTTTGTATATAAATCATAGTTTCGTTTGTGAGTATCAAGATTCCGGTAATAGATCATGAAATCGATTCATTTACTTACTAATTAACAATTACTATGATGTACTTACTTGCTTACTTACTTACTTACGCCTGTTAATTCCAATGTAGCGTAGGCCGCCGACAAGCATTCTTCAACCCACTCTGTCATGGTCCTTCCTTTCTAGTTCTATCCAATTGTTGCTCATTCTTCTCATGTCTGTCTACATTTCTCGGCGTAATGTGTTCTTTGGTCTTCCTATTTTCCTTTGACCTTGAGGATTCTATGTGAGGGCTTGTCTTGTGACACAGTTGGCTGATTTCTTCATTGTGTTTCTTATCCACTTCCAAGACTTCTTCCGGATTTCTCCCTCCACTAGAATCTGGTTTGTTGTCTCCCACAGTATAATGTTGCTGATAGTGTAGACGAATGTTACTAAACACCTATATCCTCTGGATGATGGCTTTCGTAGTTCTCCAGGTTTCCGCCCAATACAGCAGAAGTGTCTTGACAATTGTATTGAAAATTCTGACTTTGGTGTTGGTTGACAGTTATTTTGAGTTCTAGATGTTCTTCAATTGTAAATATGCTGCTCTTGCTTTGCCGATCCGCGCCCTCACATCTAATTCCCATGATATAGCTTAGTATATTCTTTTCTTTCTGTTGAATTATTTTTTTGATCCTTCAACTGTCTAATCAGTTTCATCTGATAGTTGTTCTTTATGAAAACTGAGACTTTTCTTAAATATTTTCATCCTTTCAAAGTTCATCTTATGTCTTGTATCGAATGAATGTAGTGATATTGGTAATCTGTTCTCAAGTTGTTTAAGTTTATATGAGGCGTTAGGAATATGTTTCAAAAATATTGTTTGTATCTCTTTACTATGACATTCAACCGTTTGAATGTTTCGTTCACATGTGATGAAGTGCTACTTATATCGACATAAGTAGTATATAACCCTGATCATAAATGAAATGCCTGATAACAGAAGGTTGACAAGATCGAATAGAAGAGAACGGGTACCGAAAGTAATTGATACTGAAATTAAGGAATAATAAAGGCTGAAACAATTAATGAGCATTCTGAAAATAAAGGATTGAACTTATGGTTGTACAGCACAATCTGTGAACCATATGTGGAGAAATTCAAACACTTCACTTCTACCTGAAGTTTGTGCTGATGATGTCATTCAGAAGAACGATGAAAGCTCCACGACCAAACCATTCAACTCAGAGAATAAAACTTCATCATCCATCTGAGCTACAAATCTTCTCTACTTATGGCTTTCAAATTTTATTGAATAACTCTATAATTTCGTGTTAGAAGGTAATTCGGTTGTTGTCCCCCCTCATCTGTGTTCTCGTTCATAACACACAAAGATCGTATTACGCCTATAATATTTAATTTCTCAGGCATTGTCTTGTTGTATCTCTCTTGATGACGTATTATTCAGTATCATTAATCCTAATCTAATGATATCACTAGTTCAATGATAAACTTTTGTATTAGGTTTACTTATAAGCCTTTTTTATTCGTTCCAATGTATCTTCATTGTAGATGATGACAATTGTGCCTTCTCATTCTTTTTCCAGTATATTTCCACTTTCAATAATCTTTTTTTTTCAGGAACTAATTAAGATAATTATTACCTTAAGTGTAGATAAGATTTGTTTTAATTCAGTCTGTTTACCTTTAACCTTTGAGATGGTGGAGAAGATTTGTAGCTGGTTGTAGGTGGATGATTTTGATGGAATTTTGTTCTCAAAGTTAGATTCTTTGATCGTCTTTTTGAATGACATCATCAGCATAAACTTCTACCCAAATCATCCAGCTCAGAGAACGAAACTCCATTAAAACACCTTTAACCTTTGTAATTAGTTTGTTACTTTTTTTCATCAAATTTCTAGCAAGTATGATCATTGTTGAAAGAGAGTAAATTAGATTTTTTACATAAGTATCTCTTAGAATCTGTTGATTTCCTGAATATAATTTCTTTTACACCATTGTTGTATCTTCTTTCAATAAACCAATTGAGGTTCTGTTCCACCGATTCGACCTCTTGGCCAATTTAACGAAATATAATATATTGTTAAACAGTTTGAATCTTTCCTCTTATTACAACGAAAATCTCAACCATAAAAATGTAACAACATCTTAAGTATATTATTTCTAAGCCCTGGATAAATAAACAGAGATGTATGGTGACTAGTAGTGGGATCCAGGACACGTGTTTCGCCGGGTTTGTGATTCATCAGTTGGATGTACCTACATCCCAAAGTACATATTTCTTGCAGAATTCAAACCGAGTACAATTCACTTTGAACGCCATCGCTGCTGAATCAAGTTAGCCACTGGCTTGAACAATGAATTATTCTGTATGGCTAGGGCTCAGTGACATTTCACTGAGCCCTACTTACTTACTTACGCTTGTTACTTCCAATGGAGCATAGGCAGCCGAGGATCACTCTCCAACAGAAATGTAGAAATATAATCTACACTTTTATACTGTTAAAATGTATTACTATCAAATTTGAAATTAATGTATCTGATCATGATATTCCAAATGATGTTTTATACTTGTCTAGTACTTCGAGATAAATCTAAACCAATTATATACAAGTCATTACAAGATCGTGAAAGAGGTATGCGTGAAGTGATGTTTTATCAAAGTGTATTTTCACCGGATGCTTCGGAAGCACTTAAACGTCTTCGTCAATTTATTCCAACTTATTATGGAGTTTTTCAATGTCCAGGAACTAAAGGTAATGATATATTTTTAGTGATGTTGTTTGTTTCGTCTTCAAACTTTGCTACATCTAATTTGGATGATACAGCTATGCTTATGTCGATTTCTTCTACTGTCTAGTTTTCTATGATTAAGATAATTTACTCGACTCGAACAATATGTAAGGCGGAACAACAGATAATTCAATAAATCCGGACAACAAAGATACAATCGTAAAAACTCTAGAAGTTCAGTGGAGTTTTATTCTGTGAGCTGAATGGTTAGATGGTAAAACATTGATTGTTCTTCTGAAAAACATCATTGTCATAAACTTCAGGTAGAAGTGAATGATTCAAATTTCTTCATGTATGACTGACAGCTTGTCCTATCAACTTTAATCATAATTGGTTATTATTGACCTTTATTCTGTCATTATTTGATTATCTATTTTAATTGCCCCTTATCTTTCCTCAGATTTATGATCCTATGCTTGTCTATAATATTTATATTGCTTGATAAATTTTGCTCATTCATCTGCATTAATACCAACTAGCGGTCGAACGCTATGTTATATCTTCACTTGTATCAATGTGGATAAACATGGATATATGTTTAGTTGGAAAAATGTTAAGATTTCGGATAAACGAATTGTAAGGAAGATCTGAAAATTTTTGTAGGCTTGGTATTCAGATTAGTTAACAACCAATAAACACATCCAAATCGACTCAATTTATCAATGACTTAGAAAAATTATAGACAAACATAGGATCATAAATCTGAGGAAAGATAAGGGGCAATTAAAATAGATAATCAAATAATGACAGAATAAAGGTCAATAATAACCAATTATGATTAAAGTTGATAGGACAAGCTGTCAGTCATACATGAAGAAATTTGAATCATTCACTTCTACCTGAAGTTTATGGCAATAATGTTGTTCGAAAGAACAATGAAAGCTTCACAAATTATACAGCTAAGTGGATGAAATTCCATCAATATCATCTACCTGAGCTACAAAACTTCCCCCCAACATCTCAAAATTAAAGTACATGTGTGCATCTTCCAATATCATCTAGATTCATCAATTAAAGCTGATTGATTAAAAAGTGAACTAATCAAATGATTCCGGTTTATACCTTATTAGAGAATACAACAGTGAAGATCTTATCCAGTTAGTTTCCTCATACATGTCCCATTACATAAACATACGTGGTAAGTAAATGAAAGGTTAAACATCTTTATCCTATTGTTCAGTAGTAAATGGATGCATTATTTTCGTAAACTTTTCATACTACTTGAGTTTCATCATTTACATTATGAGCTAACATTATTTGAACAACGATTAGAAATCAGTCAACACAAACCACCTATCTTAATGATGATCATGTACTCACTAGTAACTACTTTCGATAGGCAGTTATCACAATTCTAATGAGAATTTCGGAACAGTACAATTTAGGTGTTATATAGTTACCTACCGACAGTATTACATAAATGTTGCTCAGGGTAGTTATTGCCTCAGTGGTTAGTCTAGAGGTTAAGTACTTGATCAAAAACTAAAGGTCTATTTTCAATTTCCAATATTAAAGACGTGAATGTTCGGTTCTGAAAAGCCTACTAAATAAACGAAACAGTTGTCTAGTGCTCTTTGGTTTTCTATGATTGTCTAATCTAAATCAGTTTGTATTGTATAATATGAAATAATTTTCTGGTATTATAGTAATCTGCTCCTACCTGCATGACCAAGTTCAACAGATTCTTATCTCACTACATAAAAATATAGTCTGAAGTAATTGACATTCAATTTCAATATTCCCTGATGACAACATTTTATTTCTTACATAATACTGTTGAAGGTGCACAATTTCATCAATTCAATACTCCGATTCTAACAATATTAATTCTTACTTAATTATAATCAGAGAGGGATTTTGTAGATATTATAGTAATTTAATAGTTGAATTCATGAGTGAGATAGTAACTGGCTGATGATAATGGTGGACGGTGGTGCAACTTTGTGAATTGGTTGAAATTAAACATTAACATCGTTGGATGTCAGCTTAGTGGTCTAGAGATTAAGCACCTGCACGTGAGCCTAATAGGTCCTGGGTTCGAATCTCGTGAGGCAGGATCGTGGATGTAAAATAAAGTCTTAATAAACTCAGTGTGCATATTGTTTGAGAAGGGCACGTATTATCGCGGATCAAAGGAAATCTTAAAATAGAAACATTATTTTTTCGTATTTAACTAACGATAAATTATTAGATTTTAAAAACTGATATGGTTTACTTTTCACGAAACAAACTACCAGTAATTTATATATAGTTGAGATCATGAGTCAATTGAAGCCAGACCACTGTGGAAAACGTGGAAGCACTGGACGGCAATTTCCTCCTATTGTGGGACTCCTCAGCAGTGCACAAGATTTGCTAGAAATATCGAGAAAATGAAAAGTCACATGTAGTGGTTCTGATTGGTTGTTTAATACACTGGCTACTATGTTTAGTAGTATTCTAACATTTCCAGGAAAACCCAAGGACTTTTAAAATACTATAAAAATTTTATATTTTCTATACATAAATGAATCTTTGGAGTAAAGTGCTCCCCGCGTATTTTATGCCTTTTCTCTCGTGTTGAAGTTACTGTGTAGTTCTAGCTTGAGGGTTACGAGACTAGATCAGGGATCCAAATATAGCATTCAATCACCATGACATTTCATTAACAATAAAACAAAATTACATCGATAAAACCGTTCAACCATCATCTTAATCATCTTATATTATTAGAGATATGAAATACAGTTTTCTAAGAAGGAATCAAGTGAAAGATTATGTTTTGGTATTCATTTTCAATGCCCTTATTCCATTTGTGTTAATTAAATCCAAATGATCTTGTATCCAGGTGATAATTATTCAATTGAATAATTAAAAATAATTAGTAAAAGAATCTTTCTTGAATAATTTATGCTTTGAAGTAGTTGAATCTAAACAAGAAGGAATATGTTACATCCTAGTTCAGAAATATTATCAAAATGGTTCCTATTAGCACAAGTGATATTCATATTATTATAACTTGTGGCCTAGTGTCCTAATAATGTATAAGGTGATGAGAGAGCAGTGATTTATCGACCAGACCAATGAAGCGTAAACCCGTACAAGCAGTCTAGATTCTTTAACGGTCCTTCTTCTTGCCTAGCCCTATCTGTGGAGTCCTGAACATCAATCCCAGCCTCCGCAATATGAACCATGTATTTCAAATACACTGGGTTTATATACAAACCAAACAGGTCATGTCTCACCACAACATAGAAAAGAACATTTGTACAAGATCTAGGCGAAATTGCCTGTGAATGTTACTTACTTACTTACTTACTTACTTACTTACTTACTTACTTACTTACTTACTTACTTACTTACTTACTTACTTACTTACTTACTTACTTACTTACTTACTTACTTACTTACTTACTTACTTACTTACTTACTTACTTACTTACTTACTTACTTACTTACTTACTTACTTACTTACTTACTTACTTACTTACTTACTTACTTACTTACTTACTTACTTACTTACTTACTTACTTACTTACTTACTTACTTACTTACTTACTTACTTACTTACTTACTTACTTACTTACTTACTTACTTACTTACTTACTTACTTACTTACTTACTTACTTACTTACTTACTTACTTACTTACTTACTTACTTACTTACTTACTTACTTACTTACTTACTTACTTACTTACTAACTTACTTACTTACTTACTTACTTACTTACTTACTTACTTACTTACTTACTTACTTACTTACTTACTTACTTACTTACTTACTTACTTACTTACTTACTTACTTACTTACTTACTTACTTACTTACTTACTTACTTACTTACTTACTTACTTACTTACTTACTTACTTACTTACTTACTTACTTACTTACTTACTTACTTACTTACTTACTTACTTACTTACTTACTTACTTACTTACTTACTTACTTACTTACTTACTTACTTACTTACTTACTTACTTACTTACTTACTTACTTACTTACTTACTTACTTACTTACTTACTTACTTACTTACTTACTTACTTACTTACTTACTTACTTACTTACTTACTTACTTACTTACTTACTTACTTACTTACTTACTTACTTACTTACTTACTTACTTACTTACTTACTTACTTACTTACTTACTTACTTACTTACTTACTTACTTACTTACTTACTTACTTACTTACTTACTTACTTACTTACTTACTTACTTACTTACTTACTTACTTACTTACTTACTTACTTATTTACTTACTTACTTACTTACTTACTTACGCCTGTTAATCCCAATGGAGCATAGGCCGCCGACCTGCATTCTCCAACCCACTCTTTCATGAACCTTCCTTTTTAGTTCTATCTAATTTCTGTTCATTCTTCTCATGTCTATCTCCATTTCTCGGAGTAGTGTGTTCTTTGGTCTTCCTCTTCTCCTTCAGCCCTCAGGATTCCATGTGAGTGCTTGTCTTGTGACACAGTTGAGTGATTTTCTCATTGTGTGTCCTATTCATTTCCAGTGCTTCTTCCTGATTTCTTCCTCCACCGAAATCCGGTTTGTTCTTTCACACAGTAGGTTGTTGTTAATAGTGTCTGGTCAACGGATCCGAAGTATTTTGCGTAGGCAACTAGTAATAAACACCTGTATCTTCTGCATCTCCGCCACATACAGTAGAACTGTCTTGACATTTGTATTGAAAATTCTGATCTTGGTGTTGGTTGGCAGACAGTTGTTTTGAGTTGCAGATGTTCTTCAGTCGTAAATATGCTGCTCTTGCTTTGCCGATCCTTGCCCTCACATCTGCATCAGATCCACTGTGTTCATCGATGATGCTGTCCAGATATGTAAAGCTTTTCACATCCTTCAAGGCTGTGAATGTGGCAGACTGTAATTATAAGACTGGGCATAACTCAAGAATGGTAAGTCGTATAATAATAGTCTGCCGGTCAAAATAAAGCTTTTAATAAGAGGAACATGAATATACATAGTTTAGCTACTTAACAATTATACAATAAACACATATGTATTGGTTCATAATTAGTTCTCAAAAGTTACCATTGATAATTTTCGTCGGGATATAACACATATATTCGTCATCATCCGTTTAAGTACTTAAGCTGTAACTAACAGTCCAGTCCATGATGTATGTTTTGTCACACTTAAGATTAATTAGCTGAATATACGCATTTCGTCAATATGGCTGATTTGAAAATGGAGTCCTGAATTTATTCATCACGAGAGATAATCAAACCCTTACAAAATTATCTTGAACAGATTGTTATCGACACTGATCGTAGTCAATAATCCAGGAACTAATTAAATGTTATTTTATATAGTCACAAAGCTTTCGATGTTGTAATATAGAGTGCTAGACTCATCATTGTCCAATCACTACTAAGGTACTTTACGCATTCATGAGTATCTTATAATATTTATACCTTTATAACAGCTTACTACATGGCTTTATCTGATCTGGTGGCCGATTTCAAACAACCAAATATCTGTGATTTTAAAATGGGTACAGTCATAAATTACCCGGAAGATTCAATCCCACCTGAACAATTTCAATATACCTGGCGTCGTGAACTAGGTATCATGTTAGCCGGTATTCAGGTAAGCATTTTATATTATCATAGTGACTTCTTGAATGGGATTCAAAGTTGTCAGTAAGAAAGTAATAAATTGCCAGATCACAATTTCAATGATCTATTTTCGACTTGATGTGTTCAGAGGGTTGATTGTTATTGTTGTTACGTATGTAAGCTTTGCCAATGGATTTTTACGCATGGAAATTCAATTTCTATTTAAAAGTACCAGGGATATCCCAAATCATGATGTACATTACTCAATGAAATTCTTACATCATCACTAATCGGATATTCTACCTTGGTTTACGACTACTAAGTAGTGAGTAAAACTTGGTCGTAATTAAAATTTACGGTTGTTTAATTATAATGAAAGCCTAATCAGTCAGTCAGCCAGATAAGATTGATTTTCAAGACAAATCCTAAAGTAATGAAATTACTAACAGTATCAGTGGTGGTAGAAACACTAAGCTCAGTGGGTAGAGCATGAGACTGGTTTCGAGCCCCACGTCGGGCGTCGTTCGGTGAAGCAGTGCACTGTGTTTGCTAGATGCCGACTTTTAAACTCAGCCTGTAGCTCCTGCAGGGGCTACTGCCGGTCCAAAGCTCGGGTAAAAGAGGGGGGTTTGGCATGGGGTTATCGACCCCATCCCGTAGAAAACCAACTCGCTAAAAAAACGCTAACCAGAAAAACAACAGGATGAAACGGCCGTCCAGTGCTTCCAAGTTTTCCATGGTAGTCTAGCTTCAATTGACTTATGATTTCAACTATATAAAATTACTTAAATCTCCACAAAACCTCCTTCTGATATTTTTGGTTTGTTAAAAATATTGAAAAAATGATACACCATAATTATTAGTAGTTCATTAGTTAATTACAGTCAAAAGATTATATTCCGTAAAAATGACAGTTAATTAGAGTGAAACACTATATATATACCTCTTAATTTCTATACAGTAAAATATAGAGGTTGTTAAATAGACATACGTTACATGCTCTCACATGGCCACGCGTATATAGCCTCTACCAGGGAAGTCCTACTCACTGCCTTCTCGTGACACCGATGTTGTTTACAAAATTGAGAGGACGAAAAGTGAATGTCCGGCACTTTAACCGGGTTGGTGGACACGGAAAGCTCACCTATGGGAGTTGGAAAACCCTGATTCCAAATCAATGGTGCACATGGGCTCCAGGATCCTGAAGAAACAAATGGCGTATGAATCAATGGTTGATCACCGGCTACCATGGGACTGCATTTCCTCACGATGCTCCACTGCCTTATGGAACAGACCTTTAGGTTAAAGGCTCTGTGTATAGTCCCCTAGGAAAACCACCTGTTTCGGTTCGGGCACCTGAGCAGTATCACAGCCCTCAAACAAATCAAATGAGATTTGTGTGGCGCATATATATCTTGTGCCCTTTTGTACCAACATTTATGTGCTTAAATAAATAGATACATAATGACAATTATCTTACTACACTATTAAACGGTTTACTATATTTTCTTTTCATATAAAAGAGTCAGGTGGACTGTGCATACTAGTAACAACCTCTGAAAAATACAGGCTCAAAGCGAAATTCATTGTCATATATTTCGAACAGATCGGTGACTTGCATTTACCACTGTTCATTGAGTGTCCAAGGATCACACTCCTCAACGATTTGCATCTTCTCAAATAAACTTTCACTGATACCACGTTGTCATCAACTCATTTCCACGGAACCATTATGCCCAATAATAATGTGTGCTAAACTTCGCATTATCATGTTACAACATTTATAGTTCCATATAGAATACAATAGTCGTCAGTATGAATGTTTTTGTTATATTTTCCTACTCTATTTTACAGATTTCCGATCCAGTGAATCATTGTTTAATCAAGTTGAATAAAGCATTTGGACGCACTTTAACTCCAGAACAAGTTTATTCACTTTGTTAGTTATGATGATGTATACTTTGTGATACTTACTTACTGTTGACTAATCTGTCCCCACATTCTCTCTTTATCCTTCCATTCATTTGACATAGTCAGTTGAAGAGAGATGTAGCTAAACATTAGACAAATCTATTACACGAACAAGGAGTGCCACATTACAAATTGTGGAAGCACAAAAGAGGAGTAACAGAAGGATATCAATAGTGAATATGATACTACCATAACACATCTCATCCTAACTCTCAATGTATATATAAATCTTTCACACAGACACATACACACATAGAAGTTCCTCTTCATCTACAGTGTCATAGATTGGTGAATCCACAATCGATTCTCACAGCTGAAATTTACATCATGAACTGACATTGCGTAGACAACAGTTGGAAATCCGATAGAATTGAATGTCTGTTTCATTCTAATATTGAACTACTGAACAATGAAAATATACGACCTGAAGACTATGGATATAACACAATAGAATTAGTTGCGGGGAGTACTCAACAATTGAGCCACTTTCCAGTCGTTCTCATATCTAACAGTGCATGATCCGTGACATTATTCAAACATGTTATAATGTCGATTGTAGGTCAGTGATTCACATGTGACGTGATTGCAATTTACTGGTGACGGTTATTCATCAAAATTGTGAGAATCACCTCTGGATAGTAGTCAGTAGTGAATGGGCAAATATAGTTGGTATAGAGAGTATGTGGCGATAGGTGTGTGATGGTTGTCTAACTAACGTCAGTCCGTTAAATAAATTGTGAAACTCGACAATCTCAACACGACACTTGACACTAATAATATTGTTGCATTTTTGACTGGAAATGTGTGGTGCGATGAAGATAAGAATGTTTACTACACAAAACTAATGTGTGTGAATGATCACATGTTATGAATAAATGACATTTCAAATAAAGTTCCTTAATTCATTGATGATAGTTGGTAAGAGTGACGTTTAGTAATTCAGTTGTTTCATATTATCACTAGATACCACATCCATCATGGTAATTGTTTATCAAACGAGATTGACCTTTAAGTTCAGATTTGATGTGAACATTCAGTTGTAAAGTGCGTTCACAATAGTTTGAAATCAATTGGTTGTTTCATATCGGTGAATGTATATTCATCATATGAGACTGCAGGCCATCACGGTGGTTCCGATGATTTGATGTTTATGGTTGGATGTGAACCTGTTTTGTTTGATCAGTAGTGAGGTTATGTTTGTGTCATACTGAGGAGTCTTACACTAGAATGAAACGTCTGCCCAATGCTTTGTGGACATCTTAAAACAGATTATCAACTCCGAATAGTAAACATTATTCAGTCCATTGACACTAGTCAGTGGTGATTGACTGAATATTAATAAATAGTACAGTAGCTTGTTAGGAAAAGTATAGTTTGCTAAGTAGAAAATGTTTATTAAACAATTTGACCTAAGTGAAAATCTATGATAATTAGAATTATTCGAATTGATGTACTGACTAGGAATTTTCGAAATACTGAAATGTAAGGCAGGTAGAACTAGATGAGCTCAAACGAGCGATTCTGGGTGAATGGGGAATCATGTACAGAGGAATCATTCATTCGTACAAATACCACAAAATCATGTCCACTTGTTGTGAAGGTACAAGTTGAATTTTGAAGCGGGACATTAGAACAGTGACAAGGAAACTGCGACGCACAGTTTTCATGGTGTTTTCGGTGGAGACGCTTGACTTGTTCCATGCAGGCAATCATATAATGTGGAAATATTTACATCTATGATTAGCTTAATCATGTTTAACATTTTAATACATTGCGATGACTGATTTTTAGCAGTTCTTGACTCGTCAACTAGGTTAATCTTGGTTAGAACTTCCAACCTCCTCGTTTGAATTTGAAGATGACTACTTGTGAATTACATTTTTCATGTATCGCCTGATGTGATTATTTTCCTTCATTTCATAGGTGTAAAACCATTTCTAGGTGCAGATCGTACCTATAGTATTAAACTTGCACAAAGTTATATCACACAACTTAATCGTATTTTAAATTGGTATGTGGAATATGGTGCGAAAGAGCTCACATTCTGTCGTTCCTCACTTTTATTGATTCATGAGTCATTGACGATTGACAACAGTAATAATGATCACTGTCTTTCTGAAACGTGTTCTGAATCATCTCCTATATCATCATCTACCACAATAACATCTGACAATCAGTCAGTCAGTAGTTCAAATGATACTACCAACTCCGATACTCCTATTTCTTCAAATGGAAAGAATATTAGTAACATAAGCAGTGACAGTGATGGTCATAATACTGCACATACAGAGGTTTATTTAATTGATTTTGTCCGTTGGAAAGCTAAATCATCTACTAATGACAATGATAGTAGTGGTGGTGGTTGTAGTAAGGATTGTTGGAGTTGTGAACTAACTGATGGTTTTCGGCATGGATTGGAAACGTTGATCAAGTTAATGCAACATGTGGTTGATACAGAAAATTCAGCTGAAATAGAACAATGTTAATGTTGAATGATTCTATCATTATTGTTACATACAGATTGGTATTTGTCAACTTTCTGAAATTGATTTACATCTACACACATATATGCTCAGTAGCGTTATATGTTCTCGCTTCTGATTGGATACTGTGACTTACTCATTAACCCTCCTGCATCTCTCTCTGTCTCTTTGAATTGCACTGTAGTTGTGTTTGTTTCTTATAATTATTCTTATTTACTGCTTACTACGTTCATGTGTAGTTCGCTTAGAAACAAAAGATTTCTGCATTCTGAGTTCTTAGATTTATCTTTATCCTTATTGATTTTAATTTTGTTTTTATTATGTATACGTACACCTATTTTTGAAGTATCTGCCAATTAATGGTCGACCAATAAAGATTTCTTATTCAACGCTTTGTGTTATTTTATTCAGAGGAACTTTTGGTAGCCTGATATCTGACTCCAATTAGATTGTATATTGATAGCTATCGAAATACACATAACACTAATCCTCGTTTATAATCATTTTGTACAATCGTTGATCGAAATGGACAATCAGAGAGACGTAGAGAATGAAGCGGAAAAAAACAGAGCAAAGCGAGACAAAATTGCACATACACAACGTCAAAAAGTGACTGAAGAAGAATGAATAAATTGGCTTGTCCGGAATCCAGAATAAGCTATGTGAGCTTAACATAGAAACTTCACTACAAGGTCTTTTCCTAATTGTTTGGGTACGGTTCATGGTTGTATGTGTGGGAAATTTTGGGGTTTTAGTTTAATGTGAATATAATATTTTCACTGTTGAAATCACGAAAATTGATTCTAGATAGACCATCGTTTAAATTCTGGAGGCTCCGGATAGTCGCTCCATCCCAGTATGTAACTCCTTTGTAGTATTCACCCACGACCTTGGATTGGAGTAATGTGTGTATTTGTTTGATTTGACGGTTCGATTGTAGCAGTAGCCATCGTTGTAGTAGTAGTAGTAGTAGTGTTCGTGGTGTTGGTGCAATGGCTAACATGCGTGTCTTTTTCAATGCTGACCAGCATTTAGCTTAATCGAACTGACCTGCCCCTATGAACAACTGATCGGTAAGTGAGTGGTGTGTGTTGATTGGTGTTGTGTGTTTTGTGTCGATGGAGATTGAGTTATTGGCTACAGTGTGTGTCGTGAGATGGTTGTGTGTGTGTGCTGATTGTTAGTTCTTTGTGTTAGTTCATTCGAATTAGAGTTTGAGAATGTTATTAATTTTGCCTCCGTCAGTTAACATGTGAAAAGATCGGCAATCAGAATACCAACTTTTATGACTTTGGCCCTGTGCTAATCCAATGACATGTTAACCAACACGATTAGCCTTGGGTTAACCATGAGTCCTTATTGGTTCTTCTCGCCTGGCCCTGTCAGTTTGAGTCTAAAACATAATCTCTGCTTCCACTATATGAATCATGTATTTCAGACATACATACTTTATACACAAGCAAAAAAGACCACAGCACGTCATAAATTAAAACTAAAAACTATACAAGATCAAGTCAAAAGTTGTCTATGAGTATGAAAGACCGTAACTAATAGCATAAGAACAGTAAATTGCATGATAATAATCGACAAGTCAATCGAAGCTTATGATATAAGATATATATATAATAACAATCTGTAACTAGTTCACGAACTTTACCCATAATTTAATATTCTTCGAATATAACAGCGAATGTGTGAGTGTGGTAGTTGACTGATTAAGCATGTATTAGAATGGTTTGAGTTATTTGTATTATCATAGTTGAAATCATGAGTCAATTGAAGCTAGACCACCATGAAAAACCTGGAAGCACTGGATGGCCATTTCGTCCTATTGTGGGACTCCTCAGCAGTGCGCATCCACGATCCAACCCCACGAGATTCCAACCTAGGACCTACCACTCTCGCGCCAGAGCACTTAACCGATAGACCACTGAGCTTGCCGGCATCCAATGGTGTTTATGTCAAACTTCAACCAATCCACGATGTTTGAGCAACCGTTTGTATTATTTGGAGAGTTGTGTTTGAATAGTTTGAGCAGTCGTAGCTGCATGAAATAGACGATGATTACCTAGCATGTGTGTGTTCTCTAATGTTCTCATTTCATTCATTGCCTATATGCTCAATGTCAGTTGTCATCAGAGCAATGTTAACATTTTTTCAAAAGGAAGTTATTCCTCATTATTGATTGAAGACTCATATAAAAAGGAATAATTTATGGATAATTTAATTTGAATTATTCAATAATAATCTAGCAATCACGGTTAAAGTGATTTACAAAATAGTCACTAACTTCTAGTCTGAGCCATGTTGATAGATGCAGACTACCTGGTTGGAGTCTGCGCCACTATCATAATCAATGGTTGGAAACTCTAGGTGACATGGCTCAGAATCAATCACAATGGCGCGGGTGTATACACTCTTTACCTTCCCTTAAACCTTGAGATTAAAATTGCTTCATATCTGTCTTCCTTCCTGTACTATATACTTATATACAACGTATCTTTTATACATTACCACCACTAAATTAACTACTTCTATGAATCCGGTGTTCATCTTGTTGTGCTAACGAGGTATGGCAACTTGAAGCGATGCATATATGTTCCTGATCCTACGTTGTAGCTGACGGACTGATTGATCGAACTGTTTAGTTCCTGACAATATTTTTATCAGCTCTTACTCTAATACTCAATAATATTTATATTGGAAATATAAGAAACAATAAACTGTAGATAGCGTCGAGTCTTGATGGACTATGATCACCACTACAATGAGATTACGCGTCCAGAAACGACTTGGTCCCTTTGATAACTTGCAAAACAGAAGGCTGTAATTGGTCCAGGTAGAGTATATTTATTGGCGATCTCGTGGTATCGAAAGAATACCGAGACGTGCCAACGAGTACAGGCAAAAAGGACAGAGAATAAGACAGTTCAAACCAACGAGAATGGACTTTGATACAGTTAAACAACAACGAGTACGATAAAACAATCGCTGGTACGATTGGTTACAATAATAATAATTGTTTCTATTATTCCAATCGTGTTCTCATCGAGACAATCCGGTCACTACAAAACCAATCAAAGCAGTTTATTATTCACTGCAAACAGTGAGAGAAATTGTATAACTCTCTCTCTCTCTCTCTCTCTATATATATATATATATATATATATATGGAATACAAAGTACAGATTGATGATAAGATGACAGGTGTGCTAGTAGTGATGGAGGTATGTCTGATCAGCCCAAAATTTTATTGTTGTTCCCATTAATAGTACACCTATCTATCATCTTACAATCAATTTGCACTTTTGACTTATTATGTTTAATAAAATGTACTTTACCTAATTGTTGGTATTCATTTATAAAATGCCTTGAATGGTTTATTGTTTCTTATATATATACATATAAATATTACCATATATTATAGTCTTTTGGTATTCCTCTATATAAACTCATACTGAATATTCTAATTCGGTAAGTGTTCATTTATATCTACAGAAACATAAATAGATATATCTAGATCATACCAATTATACTTTAAGTATCATAAGTATTATATTTCTTGTCTTTATCATGTTTGAAAGAGTTTCGATACCTACTTTCCCTAATTCAGGTCCCGTGAGTGTTCTTTCTTTTACTTTACCTCCTTTCAAAGCTTGTCATCCTAGGTTATAGTTCTAACTCTTAGAAGTTTTTCATTATATAAAACCACAAGCCAGATAGCTGAGATCAGCTATGCGAACCCAGTGTTATCTAATTCAAAAGCGGTAAAAATTATTGAAATGATATTTAGGCCAGACACTGATACATAATTTAAACTCTTACAACAAGAAGTCATCTTTTATGGGATCAATGGTCAGCTGAATGACCCTCAGCTAACGTACAATTAAGTAAAAACAAGCTATCTCAGCTTAAGTGAAACGCGATTAATATATTAGCAATCGCTAAGCTAATAGATGTTGAACTTATCAGTTATAGCTTAGAAGTCTGCCAAAGAATATTAGGTTTCATTTATGAAGATGTCGACGTAGATGGACTTGCGGATATCACTAACCGAATATACGTGTATATTAATGTGCACTCAGTATCTCACCAAGGTGGCTTCATGACCTTTAATAAACATTAAGTATGCCTGTCAGTCAACTTAATCGTTTGTGTATGGAACATTCACTTGTTGAGAGTCTAGAAGAAGATCCAGAAGCGGATCATAATGTTTCTCTGATACCAGTCATTCAGACATTTCTCGAAGTTAATGAAAATTTGACATACCAGCTAAATGCTGTCCTTGCCGTATAAATCCGGTAATGTACAAACAAGAAACAAAACGGCCGATGGTCACTGGCTAATGGGATCGTCCACATAAACAACCAAAGGAGTTGTCATTTTATTCTACGGAAAAGAAGACTGAAATATGATTTCTAGTTGTTACTGAGGCAATAGTAAGATAAAAAGTAACCTGGAATCCTAAATAACGGCATTAGCTGTCAATTAATCACATAGAACCACCTATGTCAAAAGACAACAAACTGGATCACAAAGATATATTTTTTTTTAGAACTTCATCGTGGCCGACGTTTTTGTAATAATGATTTCTTACGATTCTACAAATAACAGCTAGATATATAGAACCACATACTGATATATATTTACCATAATGTTACTATTGTGGTGTGGGTTACTTGTATCCACATAAGTAGCATATAACAATGGTCAGGCATTGAATGTATTTCAGTAGAAGATCGATAAAGAGAGAACGGGAACGGGACGGAATTAGTATGAAAATGAGTAAGCGATAATAATCAGAGACGATGGACTGATATTTGCAGAAGGAACGGTCAAGATTGAGACAATTGATTGATAGTTTGCAAATTAACTATTTACAATATGGTTCTCATATTTTACTGAGATATTCTCTAATTTTGTACTGAAATACATTGGATTGTCCCCACTCGTGTTCTTGTTCACTACATTATCAGTGGGACAATATCCAATGCATTATTTAAGACCTACACAGCAGATTGGTACAGAAAAAAACATTGACTTGTTAAAATTATTTCCTAGTCCTTTACAGTCGATGTATGGACAACAATAATCGATACAATATGTTACGCACCACGTTGAAACTAAAAGAACAAAAACATCTGAATGATTCATACACCTAAATCTTATACGTCTCACTTTGGGCAACTCGACAAGTTGTCGAATCAGACATTATAGGTCATCACTCCAGCTCTTAGACCTTGCCGTTTCACGTCGTCTCTAACAAACACTAAGCATATTGAACCTTGAGATGATAACATACTCTTCAGCAGCTACTCAGGTCCTGCTGGAAATTATCTGGCATAT